AAATAGATTTTAAATGAACGGAGTCTAATAAACGACTGTCAGCTAAAGCTGCCATGAGTGTAGTGTATGTTTCTAATTGCTTTGCATTCCTTCCCATGTGCCTAATTGCCGTTCGCGGGATGGGCGGGGTATAAATATGATAAATAAATGAATAAATAAATAAATAAATTCAAAGCTGTAACGCATATCTATTAAGGTCACTGGAGGAGTTGGTAGTGTCTAGGTTTCGTGGGAGCTTCTTCCGTTCCCAGCTCCGCAGCCGTTAGAGAATCTGCCAAATGCCCGCACGCGGGAGGCCCTCTAATTGGGTATTGCTGGGGGGGCGCGCATACGAATGCCCTATATCCTATTATGCGCATAGGTAGCCCGCCATTCCTAACAGTGTTCATGTTACTGCATCTATGGCTTTTCAATAAAAGTAAAACCTTCTTAGAAGCGTGTACTTCGTTGTCTTGCTGTGGATCCTGACGACGACACATCATGAGAGGGCCCTGGATCTCCTGGGCCAGTTCACTCAAGGCCATAGGCTGCAAGTTGAGAGCCAGCTGGCTTGTGCCCGAGGCCATCACCTGGCTTAAATACCTGCAAACGGGAAAGGAAAACAGATGCTCCCAAGAATTCCACTCACTTGCTCATAGAGCCTCTGGGCGTGCCCAGACTTAAATACCTGCAAACAGGAAAGGAAACAGAGGTTCAGTCTAGATGTGATGTAGCTGTCCGAGATGTTCCCAGGAATTCCTCTCCCTTGCTTCATTTCAGGAAATCAAAGTAACCCTGAAACTGTAGGAGACAGAATTTGGCCGTCACATTATGGGCATTCCGTATGCCCTTCTCTATCCCAACTTGGATGGCCCAGACTAACACAATCTCATGGGATATCAGAAGCTAAGCAGGGTCAACCCTGGTTGGTGCTTGGATGGGAGACCACCAAAGAAGTCCAGGGTTGCGAGGTTGTTGAGTCGCCAGCCTAACCGGCGAGTGATTCAGCAAGAACACAGCTTTATTCTTCAACTCGAACACAACTCCAACACGGATCAACATCTGATAGCCAGAACAACACGGTTCAGGTTTTACATTGCAGTTGCCCTGCTTTTAAACATTCCTGGCTAATGAAGCCACGCCCACTGTACACATACCAACCAATAAGGTTGTTCACATAAGGACCGATCACGACCATTCCCGCTCAGGGAGCTTGCTGCGAAGTGATTGGCTTGTTACTTCCTGGGCTAGCGATACCATTGGATGTATTTGGATCCTAGCCCAGGATGAAGCTTAACATTACAAGTGAATGAGATGTTTCACATACACCATGCGTTCCATGGCAGCTTTGGAATACACTACATATGCAGAGGCAGTACTTACCACCACCACCTGCCCTGACTTGGACAGCGCAGGATACCCCAATGTTGTCAGATCACAGAAGCTAAGCAGGCCTGGCCCTGTGGCTAGTATTTGGGTGGGAAACCTCCAAGGAATACCAGGGCTGTGACGCAGAGGCAGGCAACAGCAAAGAACCTCTGACCATCTCTCCCCCTGAAAGGGTCACCATAACTCAGCTGCGACTTGACGGTATTTTCTGTTGGGTTAAAGGAAAATAAAGTTATAGGTCTTGGAAGCACAGAAACTTTATGTAGTATCCCCGATCTTCCATGTTTCCCGGTTCAGAAGAAGAAGAGAAGAGACTGGATTTATACCCTGCCCTTCACTACCCAAAGAAGTCTCAGAGTGGCTTACAAACTCCTTTTCCCTTCCCCTCCCCACAACAGACACCCTGTGAGGTAGGCGGGGCTGAGAGCTCTGACAGAAACTGCTCTTTTCAAGGATAGCTCTGACAGAACTATGGCTTGCCCAAGGTCATCCAGCAGCTGTAAGTGGAGGAGTGGGGAATCAAACCCGGTTCTCCCAGAGTCCGCGCACTTAACCACTACACCACTACACCAAACTGGTTAAGGGGGGAATGCTGTTCAAACAAGTTTCAAAGATGATCTGACTCCATTGGTAACAAAAAGAAAGGATCTGACTTACAAAAATAGAAGCACACCTTACATGGCATATTCGTGCGGGTGCATTTAACTTATGAACAGATGAACTTCAAAAGGTTAACTTGCTGCAGCTCCAAGCCCAGGTAAGAGAGAGAAGAAGAGAAGTCCTATATAAGATGAAACAGAAGGCGACCAAGGACCAAAGAGGCTCAGCATCTAAGAGAGGGTAGGGGCCGCTCAACTGCCAGGTGTACCCGAGTGAGTGAATTCTCTTAACCCTGTCCCTCCCAGATCCTCTCGCATGCAGAGTCACAACACCCAGCACTTTCCACCACCACTTACCACCATGCCCTTCTCTAAAACGCAACTGATGAAAATAAGCAAAAATAAAACAGGAGTCTAGTGGCACCCCTTCAAAGACGAACAAAATTCATTCTGAGATTTCATAACTTGGGACTCATTCTATCATATGCACACAAAACTCCTGTTTTGTTGGTGCAGATTACCAGGGCTACCCTTCTGGAACTATCTTTTTGTGGCGACTCCTACAGGGGCACGGAGGAAGTTCAGAGAAGTGGCTTGATAGCCTGCCTCTGCCTCCCAGCCCTGGTATTCTTTGGAGGTCTCCCAGCCAAGTATTTGCCAGGGTCAGCCCGCCTTAGCTCCCGAGATCTGACGAGGTCGGGCTTGCCTGGGCTATCCAGGTCAGGGCTAGAACTATCATTTTAATTTTTATTAATTTCAAAATCTTACAAATTAATTACAAGCTTTTTTACAAGGAAATAAAATTAACATTCTTGAATAATAATCTACTCAAGTAGATTGATAAATTGTGAGAAATATGCGTTGGGTTACAGTACAAAATACATAAGATATGAAGAAATATTTTAAAGTTAAGTTTGACTGTTGCAATAATGTTGAAAATGTAATTTTTGGTTGGGTATTTGTTTGTTTGTTTATCTGTGTTATGTCTTTAAAATTCAATAAAGAAAGTATTTTAAAAAATAATCTACTCCAGGTTGCCAACTCTTTCTGCTTCTACTTCATTTGTATATTATATTGATGAATTAAGTCTGATAGAAGTTGGCACACCTAAAATAAATATTTCTGCCTCTCAGAATTACTCCAGTGCAAATGCAATTATAAACTCTATTTCCCATTATTTCCCTTATATCTATTTGAGTAACATTTTAGGGCTGGAACTACCATGATGAAAAGGTGTGTTGTTGAGATGGCCTCTGAGCACAGAGTGATTGAAAAGGCTTCACCCCATTGTTACTTTGGGAAGTCCAATATCATCCCACGAATTCCGTGCCCCTCAAGGAAGGATGAGACTGTACTATACTGGACTGAAAGTTAACTGCTCTACTGCAGATCCACAAGGCTGGTACCTTCCGAAACAACTATCCTTGATAACAGCCACCAGACTTATCTTTGGGAAACAATGGAAATTCGACTCACAACCTTCTAAGACCGAACGGCTAGGAAGATACCCTGCCTTTCCCCCCCAATGGGGCCCCAAAGCAGCTTACGTCATTCCCCTCTCCTCCATTTTACCCTCACAACAGCCCTGTGAGGTAGGTTAGGCCGAGAGGACGCCACTGACCCAAGGTCCCCCAGCAAGACTGCATGGCAGAAAGATACAAAATTAGTAAAACAGGCATATTTCAAAAAGCACTATTGAGGTTAACCCTCTAGGGATGCCAGCCCCCAGGTGGGCACCTGGGGATTCCCTACGATTACAGCTCATCTCCCGACGACAGAGATCAGTTCTCCTGGGGAAACCGGATGCTTCGGAGGGTGGACTCTATGGCATTGTACCCCACTGAGCTGAGGTCCCTGTCCCCCTGAGGCTCCACCCCAGGCCCATAGCTACAGTGGGGTATCTCGGGGCTAGGCCCCCCTGACTTGTTGGCAAGGCCCCCTGACTTCCCATCCAGCCCAGGCCATCACAGCCTTCTCCCCCGGATTAATCTGATTAGCCAGGGCCCCCTAAGAAATTTAAATGCCCCTGTCTTAAAAAACCCTGGCTATGGGCCGTCGCCACCCCCAAATCTCCAGGAGTTTCCCAACCTGGATCTGGCAACAACCCCCCCCCCACCCGCGCCAGTAGCCGGAGAGGACACGTGGCAACCCTATACTCCGCAGAGGTCCCTCCACAAGCTCCAAATCTCCCTGGATGTCCCAAAGCGGGGTTGGCAACCGTATTCCCCGGTAAGCTAAAGGCCCCCATTGAGCCTTGGTCCGCGGCGGTGTGCCAAAGCATTTCCCCCTGCCCTCCTTCCAGATAGATCTCCTTACCAGCCACCCCGAGTCCCGGATGCATTCCGACGGCCGCGCAGCAACTCCGCGAATCCCCGCGGTCGCTTGCAAGCAGTGCCGGATTTACGCATAAACTAAATAAGCTACAGTTTAAGGGCCTCGCAATCTGCTGGGGCCTCAAATAAAAACACAATATAAAAAATGATTTCAAATATTAAAAATGCGTATATATTTTAAATTTTTCTGAGACCAGCTGATGTAATTTAAAACAGAAGGGGGCCTCTGGGTTTGGTATAGCTTAGGGCCTCAACAAGTCTAAATCCAGCACTGCTTGCAAGTCCGATTTCGCCCGGCCTGAGCGGGTAAAAAACCCACCCTCCTCGTCCCCGATGGGGAGGCAAGCGGGGGGTGCGCGTCCGTGGCGCCGGAGCGGCCTCCCTTGCGAAGGAACGCTGGTCGGGGCTCCGGTTCCGCCGCGGGACGGGCTCCTCGGGAAGAAGGCGCAATTCCCCGCCGGAGCGCGGAGGAGGTGCTGCTGCTGCTCCCCCGAGAGCGCGGGGCCTTGGCTGCGCTCCGGGTCGCGATGCTGCGTGCCGCCGCCGCCGCCGCGGCAGTTCCTGTCCCTTCCCTGCCAAAGGAGCCGCCTCCGCCATGTTCCGGCTCTGACCGACGTGCCGCAGGAGCAGCGGCAGAAGGAGGAGCGAGCGAGAGAACCAGCCCGGGGAGGGAGGAGGGGAGGGAGGAAGGAAGCGGGGGAGCCCGGCCTGCCTTGCCTGCCTACTCACTCGCCGCGGGAGGAGGAGGAGAGGCTGACGGGCAGCGGCGCGCAACAGGTAGGCGCAGCAGCTGGGGACGCTGGCGGGGGTCCCCCCTTTCCCACCCGGCCGCGGAGGCTGCGCGGCTGGAGAGGAGAAAAGAGGAGCTGGCTGAGACGGGGCTTGCGGCCGGGAGGCACCCGGGCTGGGCAGCCCTCCGCGGCGCCCCTGGGGCCTGGCCGGCCGCCTGTGGGACGCGGGGGGCGGCCGGGTTTGGGGGCCCACGCTGGGAGAGCTCCGCTGCCGTTGAGATCGGGCGGGTGGCTGGGAGGCCGGCCTTCTTTCCCCGGGGAGCGGGACTCCGGACGTGTCGTGCAGCGTAGTGCCCGGGTTTGCAGAGGGCGCTCGGGCCGCCCGGGCTGGGGTGTCGTGGAGAAGGGCACCCGGGGCGGAAATAACTCTCGTGGAGCCTCGCTTGGGGGTTGGGTGGTGGGCGGCGGGAAGGAGATCTGAGAGTAGGGAGGAGGGGGGGGCGGTCTTCCGAGCCGGCTACTCCAAACCCTCCGTCTGTTCCCCGCGAGAGATCCGAAGCTAGAGCTTGCCGAGAGTGAGGACACGTGTCACAGGGTACGTGTGTACCTCAGGCGTGGACGTGAGTACAGCTGTTTGTAAGAAAGAGCCGGCGGGCCTTCGCTTTCAAAATATCAGAGCAGCACCTCGGTAGATTCTGGGTTCTGCCCTGATGTGGACGGGTCAGCCCGTCCTCATCTGATCTTGGAAGCTAAGCAGGGTCGACCCCCGTCAGTATGTGGAAGGGAGACCACCAAGGAAGCCCAGGGTTGCCATACAGAGGCAGGCAATAACAAACCGTCTCTGAATGGTGCCTTGAAAACTGTGAGGGTTGCCACAGACGGAAAAATACTGTATGTTCAGCTGTGTAACCTAGGAATTACACAACCCACATGCAAAGAAAAATGTATGCTCTGTATGGATTGTAACGCAACTGGAGTCAGAGGGGGCAGGTACAATCCGGAAAGCATTCCAGAGGGGTAGCTGTGTTAACTCTGCAGTAGTAAAAATTAAACAGGACTGTTCAAAGGCACTTACTGCATTTAAAAAGTGTGTCTGAGTTGCGCTGTGTTGCATTTGCAGAAGAACTTAAGCTGGAGGAAAACACTGATACCCTTTAACGGGACCCCCAGACTCCTGTTTGTACAGTTTGAAAGTTGCTATTTAGGCACCTGTCGGCCCCTAATATATGTGGCGTGCACGTGTTAAACCCAGAAAGCCCAACACATTGTCCTTCTCTGCCTCGAGCCCTTTTACTTCCCCCCCCTTGATCCCAAAATGGTAACTGAAAAATTTGGTGACATGCCTTGCGCATGGAGGACAAAAAAGAGAGAGGCAATGCTGTACTGGGCATGTTATGAGATGATTATGCTACAACAGCCCCTTTCGGACTCTCATATCCACCCAAATACGGTGTGAAATCTATTCTTCAGGCAGAAAATTTACGGATTACTTGTTATGGGAGAAGATTTTAATCAACGGCTAGTGCAGGGTTCTTCTGCGATCCCTTTAGACGGCTGTCCCGGAGGACGATGAAAATACTTGGTGCATTTTTGGATGTGTGTTATTTAAACTTTCGCATCTGTTCTCTTAAGCAGCTGGGTGGTACGTAAAAAGCTTACAGCTTAATAAAGCTGTGCTCAGACACTCAGCCATCCTTGGGACAGGAAATAGTTAACGTTTCTGGGTCTAAAAAAATAAATCAAGGGGTGTATTATTATATTTCTCAGTTCATTGTTAAATATTGATGCGTGGGCGTTTGATGCTTCTCAGGTATGAGCTGCGGTAATATTTTTGTCTCCTCTGAAACCCTCTTGTAAGTTGAACTCTGGGATTGGATTGTATATGCATGTGTTTCGTTTGAAATGCTTTCGGTGAGTCACGTTTGTTTGTGAAATCTCCCATGTACTTGAATCCGTGATCTGAAAGATGGAGGAGTTGGAGAACGGCAGGGCCCGAAACACTTCCACATGTTTCTATGGGAACTGTAGTTCTTTTCTCAAGACGAAGTATCACAACTTGGATTATAAAACGAGAGGGGGCGAATAAGTCAACACATGTGCATTCCTAGAGGCAGCAAATGCAGTCCGTGAACTGCAAAAGAGTGAGGGGGACATTGCCGTGTCCTCTGGCATCCAGTACCAATGATGTTAGCAGAGATCTGTTGGTCTTAAAGGCGCCACTGGACTGGAATGTAAAGCGAGAGATTAATTAGGTCTCTGATGTTTAAAACCTGGTTGGGCGCTTGGTGTTTAACTCCTGTTGTCATTTACGTTAGGTTTGAATTCATGAGCTGGTTTGGGGTTGAATTAATACATTAAAATTACATTCTACCAATCATAGAAAGTCTCTGGGCAGCATAGAATGTGGTAGTGAAAACCGTGGAAGGCTCCAGAGAGCAAAGTCCGTGTTGTCCCTGGCCTGGGTTTGCGTTTTATTCCACAGCATTCACCTTCTGGAGAAGAAGGTTGTCAAGTTTTCATTTTGATTGTTGTACTATTTATAGCGGTGCCTCAGTTGTGGAGGGTTCTCATTTCCCACTAGCGTTCAAAACAAAACAGCGTGGATCTTTCAAAACACAATTATGGAGGATTAGAAACAGACAATTAAAAACATGTTGAAGGTGGGGTATGACTTCCAGTGCCACCGCTGTGTTGTTTTGAGCTGTAAGGCCTAGAAACATAATTCCAAGAGAACGAAAGCTTGCAGATATTTCGAAATGCATTATGGTTTGCACGCCATATGTTGCTCACATAAGGAGATTATGCAGGCATTTTGGTGCCTTTTCTAAATGATAAGGGGTAGTGCTAAATGTGCAGACACTGCAGATTAGTTGAGCAGCACCTGTTACATCTGCTGTCTTGGAGATGACTTCTGTGACCTGTCCCAGATTTTCAGACTGAATTCTAGATATTACTTCTCTTAACCAAGGCTTGTATTATTGTACAGTATCTGTAGAATGTTTGCTTTTCATTCTGAACTGCCTTAGAAATCGCTATCCTTTATGTGAAATATATATTCTAATATATTGTCTGTTTCTGAATAGTGCCATAAGAACATAAGAGATGCCAATGTTGGATCAGGCCAAAGGCCCCTCCAGTCCAACACTCTGTATCCCACAGTGGCCAGAAATACCAGTGCCCTCAGGAGGTCCACCAGTGGGGCCAGGACATTAGAAGCCCCTCCCACTGTTGCCCCCCACCCCAAGCACCAAGAAGACAGAGCATCACTTGCCCCAGAGTCCCTATCTATACCTTGTGGCTAATAGCCACCGATGGACCTCTGCTCCATATGCCTATCTAATTCCCTTTTGAAGCCGTCCATGCCAAGTTAACAAATCTATGCCAACGATGCTTTAGAGGGGCTTGAAAAGTGAAGACACTAAAAACAAGAGAGAAAAAATCAGTGAGGTCTGCCCTCTCCATCTGAATTAGTCTTGGCAAAGTAAGGTGTTCTTTAAAAAATTAATATAACATTTTTTTTAATTCTCCCCAAGCCCAGTTCCAAGTTGAGACACCATTGAATTCCCAAGTGACATCATAGGCGTATGATGCTCCCTGTGCCCCCTTCCCACTTATCACTCGGTGGTAATGTGAGGTGTCACCCGGAGACCTTTCTGACAGGCATTCTTCCTTCTGTTTCCCTCCCTGGTGGTGGCAAGTCCTGTCAAGTCGCAGCCAATTTATGGCAACCCCGTAGGGTTTTCAAGGCAAGAGATGAACAGGTTGCAAGAATAGAGACGTTTTTTTCACTGCCTGCCTACATAGCAGCCCTGGACGACTTGGTAGTCTCCCCTCCAAGTACTAACCACCCGGAGAGCCAGTTTGGTGTAGTGTTTAAGAGCGTGGAGTCTGATCTGGGAGAACCGGGTTTGATTCCCCACTCCTTCACATGTAGCTGCTGGTGTGACTTTGGGTCAGTTACAAGTTCCTTCAGAGCTGTTCCCTCAAGGGCAGTTCTCGAGAGAGCTCTCTCAGCCCCACCTACCTCACATGGGCTGCGGTCACACGCACTAAATAATCCGCTTTCAGTCCACTTTCCAACTGGATATTGCCAGTTCACACAGTAAAAATCCAGTTTGAAAGTGGATTATTTAGTGTGTGCGACCACAGCCGTGGTGTCTGTTGTGGGGAGGGGAAGGGGAAGGAGATTGTAAGTCGCTCTGGGACTCCTTCCGGGAGTGAAGGGTGGGGTATACATCCAATCTCCCCCTCTTCTTCTATCCTGACTCTCCTTTCTTGCTTATTACTTGGAGGTAATGGAAGATGATGGAGCTGCGGTGGCTCAAGTGGTTAAGACACTGAACTGCAGGCTGTGGAAGGTCAGTAGTTCAGCAGTTCAAGACCCGAGTGTGCCGCATGACGGAGTGAGCTCCCGTCTCTAGTTCCAGCTCCTGCCAACCTAGCAGTTCGAAAGCAAGAAATTGCAAGTAGATAAATAGGTACCGCTTCGGTGGGACGGTAACAGCGTTCCGTGCGCCTTGGTGTTTAGTCATGCCGGCCACACGACCACGGAAACGTCTTCGGACAGCGCTGGCTCTTCGGCTTTGAAACGGAGATGAGCACCGCAACCCTAGAGTCGGACTCGACTGGCTTTCGAGCAAGGGAACCTTTACCTTTACCTTTTTAATGGAAGATGTCATCTGGAGATCTTTCTGAGAAGCATTCCTCTTTCTGTTTCCATCCCCGGTGGTGGAAAGTGCCGTCAAGTCACCGCCAATTTATGGCAACCCCGTAGGGTTTTCAAGGCAAGAGACATTCAGAGGTGGTTTTGCCATTGCCTGTCTCTGTGTAGCAACCCTGGACGTCCTTGATGGTCTCCCATCCAAGTACCTACCAGGGCTTACCCTGCTTAGCTTCCAAGAGCTAACAAGATCAGGCTACCCTGGGCCGTCCAGGTCTGGGCATCTCCATCCCTCCCGATATTTCCCAGCATGCCTGAGACCTTAGTGTGGGCATCAGTCACGCAGTCCTGGAACAATCTCATATCGAGAGAACATATTAAAGTTT